TTGATGTATTTCAAAGGAAGTGTGTTTAACTGTAGTTTAATGTATTTCAAAGGAAGTGTGTTTAACTGTAGTTTAATGTATTTCATGGAAAGTGTGTTTAACTGTAGTTTAATGTATTTCAAGGAAGTATGTTTAACTGTAGTTTAATGTATTTCAAGGAAAGTATGTTTAACTGTAGTTTGATGTATTTCAAAGGAAGTATGTTTAACTGTAGTTTGATGTATTTCAAAGGAAGTATGTTTAACTGTAGTTTAATGTATTTCAAGGAAAGTATGTTTAACTGTAGAAGTGATGGTTCACAATGTAAACAAACGAAACTTATCATATTTGAGACTTTGAGAAAATTGAAATAAATACGATGATTGTCCAAGTACACAAGTTCTTAGACTAAAACAAGAGAGTTGGCATCGATAATGCAGTAAAGAATCTCCATCTAGTTAAGTCATTATAGACACGCATTGTGTCACTACTAAAGTAATAGTACACTGTAGAAAAGAACACAAGACGTGGAAAATGTTGTGTGAGAGATACTGCTAAAATTTAAAAACAAAAACGTCTATGATTCTAAAAAACACCAAAAAGCTTTTATTAGCTACGTTTCGGGCATATGCCCTTTGTCAGGCTCAGCTGCTGTTAAAATTACAGAATGTACAGAACGTTAATGAGCCCTAACTACCAGTATATATATTGTTTGGAACTCTAAACGTTCTGTAACTTTAACAGATAAGCCTGACGAAGACCGTATTCCCAAAACGTAGCTAATAAAATAAATATTTCATTATAGACGTGTGTTTTAACTTTTTACAATATCTCTTACAAGAAGAAGACTTAGGTAGTTGCAGGAATGAGGGAGTTCTGGAAACCGAAGAAAAACGCTAGAAACTAATCATCGTCAGCAATTGAATCATCCTCATTTGAAAATAACTTAGCTTGGGAGCACTCTTTAGTATCAAGAACTTTGTCAATATGAATGAAAGCTGAAGTACTTTTAGAAAATTGTTTGGGTGTTTTTAGGTATGAAGAAGCTTGGGTATTGATATCTGATTGGGCGCGAAAACCAAGCTTTGAAGTATCATTTCTGTTTATCTAGGGGGAGGTCGAGTACTGTTATTTAGGATCTCTGTTGAGTGCTGTTTGTGTGTATGCTTAATGTTTACTTTACCTTTTTACTTTTCCAACGTTATTATGCTTAAAGTGAAATGTAGACAAAATACTGATCAAACTGACGAACCCTTTTTTTTCAAATCAATTATTTTTTTTAGAAATTCTATACAATCATGTAACGTTGATAACGTTTACTGTTTTCCTAAGCCCCTTTTATTGGCCTGAGAATGAAATCATTTTCTCAGTTTTTTTTTCCTGAAAATTATGTTTCTCATATAGTAACATAAAATTATAATCGTTTTACTGAAACCAAATACTATTAGTGACCATATTTAACAGAGGCTAAAATACTTTTTGTCGGAATGATACAGAGATTACGTTTTATTTTTTATTCGTGCCTCTCATTAAAATTGTACTTAATTTATACATTATACAATATATATATATTTCTGAAAGTGTAAATAAATCAGACTTGAGTGTCACCGTTCAGGTAGAAAGTTATGATATATATACTGTTTGATCTCTTAGAGGATAACTTTGTATGTTTTACCATCAACCACGCCCAAATTATTGAAAGTGGATCGAGTGACGTAGTACTGAGTTAAAATATACACACACATCAAAATTCAAGAAATCTTACCGTACTTAACATTCTACTTCCTTGTTCTTCGGACTCAAGTTTGAGTGTAAATTGTTTACTATATTTGTTGTTCTATACCAAGGGGAACATTTGGAAAGTTTTGATAAAAGTAATCATAATCTACACAGTAGAAGAAGAGATTTATCACAACAAGCGTTTTCAATTACCGGACAGACGTTATTATAATACATATTTGTCATGTAGTATTCCAAGCAGACAATACTAGCTATTTTCGCCTTTTTTTAACGTCTTGTTAATTCTGTAACGTGTGTGTACGATATTACTTTCTTAGTAAACATAAACTGGAGCAAAGAAAAAAAATGCCTATCCCAATGTTCCCCACTTCTCGCTACTACCGAGGGACGAGGCGTTTCTCTGCCTGTTTGAGGCTGTGTAAATACGTAAGAAATCTTACCTGTCAACCTTGACAGACGCAACTACTGTATATACAACTAGATAAAAAAGCACCAGCTGCTTTGTTGAAATATATAAAAAAAACTTGGGGCACATATTATAATGTACGTTTATTTATATAGACATTCAGTAGTTTAGTCCCCCCCCCCCTTCGTGGTTCAGCAGTAAGTTTGAGAGCCTATAGTGCTGGAAATCGGGTTTCGATACTAACAGATAGCCTTGTGCTTAATAACGAACAAAGATTAGAAGTTCATTACTGTTCAGAAGACTTTCTGTTATGTGTTACGCTTTATCTGATGAGTTTCCAGCATTATACTAAGATATGTAATCACATATTCCAACCCTATTTAAAAACGACAGATATTGGTTTCCAATAAAGCGATTTGTTTCTTATTCCAATGATGTAAGAAAGCATAGTTTATCTTCTTTTTGTCAATTATGTATTACTCATTAGGACTGCTGCAGTGAAAAGTTCCAGAAGGAGATTAGTAAGAAGATTAGAACTAAGGAGATCCTCTGCTAAATGAAGAGGTCAAACAAAATCACCATCGTTATCTGTTGCCTGGGTGCACTTTTTAGGTTAAGCAACATTTTCAGTCTGGTTGAGACCTGCAGCACGTATTTTAGAAACTTTTAATACTTGTCGATGTGAATGATTAAGTTTTGGCCGAATATTTAGATCTGAGGGTTTGCTAAGCCTACAGTTCTGGCAAAGTTTTTAAAAACTTTTTGTTATGTGTTACACTTATCTATTAAATTTCCAGCGTTATACTAACATATTTAATCAATTAGTCAAAACCCATGTTTTAAAACGACGAATAAGCGAGCATGCTAGTTCACAATAAAGTTTTTGCCTACCTAAATAACTGTAATGAAAGTTACCCGCCAGAAAATAGTTTGATAGACACACACATTGGAGTCCAGTGACTAGTCCTAAAGACATGCTTTATTGATTTTCCATTTTCATAACTAAAACAGTTTCTAAAATTTCTGGGATTGATGTTCTGAGTACATTACAACATGGACGGGTACTGAGCAGAGCGTTTTATGTACAAAGCATATTTCCTATATACAAGTAGGACTTAAATATTTTTCTCTGTAATTACATATGCCACGATATTTAAACACCCATTTACAAAGCATTCACAGGTTAAGCAATAAATAAAACTTTCAAGCGTTAAAACTCGTATAAACTTGTGCTTTCATGATAACAATGAAACTAAAGGAGTTTAATAAATATGTAACGCCTACTCTTGAAAAAATTTAAGCAGGTCGTGCTCAACCACACACCATGTATGATTTGTTCATAAAATATTAAATATAATTATTAATCATATAAAGATAAAAAGAATACCACGTTAATTAACTGCATGAAAAAATTGCAAAGGTTATGGAACATTGATTCATATAAGTTCTTATGTATATCACGCTTGAGTCTCTCACTCTAGTAGTTAGCTACTCACCATAATGGGGCTACAGTATTAATCAAACTATAGCAAAGTAACCTGTGACATATTTTTGAAATATTGGTTATAAACATCATGCAGCATGACTTTTTTTTGGGGCTTTTTTTTCTTTTGTTAATATGGTTATACATTGATAATGAACGAGAAGCCACCCGAAAAAGAAAACAAGAGATCCTATAACTCTTGCAAAAAGTAGGAATTATAAAAGATTATGACTAACAGTTTGTAAAATTTGCTTTTGAACTTTTTCTAAGATATTACAAATCATATTAAAAAATATATACACGTTGTTCTAAAAAACCGTAAAAAAAATCACTGAAAAACATGAAGCTACACAGTTAAATAACCATAGCGACAGCTGGTAAACTAAACAGTTATGACAAAACCATGGTAGCAGTTGAAAACTTTAAGGGAAAGTATAGAAAGTTTGGAATCTTATTAAAACTGTTGCAAACACACACCTGCTTTTGTTATTGATTTACTAAAATGCTATTGAAATTTAGTGTATTTCAACAAATATTTTAGCCTTTAGTATAATTTATTTAACTATCTTTATACATTCTAACAAAATTACAAAACCTTGGTATAATCATGTTTAGATAAAACAAACGTAAACAAAAAACTATACATTAAAATCAATAATTTAAACATGTGAAGAGAAACTTGAAGAAAACATTCTAATACTAGGTTCTTTTTTTTTCAATTTCAAATCTCTGTGTTGCTGCTCCTCTTCTTGTAAACTGAACATATCACTTCAGATTTACGACTGTAAGGCATCTGGCGGTAAATAAAAACTGCTGAAAATATTTTATCTGTATATCATAATTGACTAATGCCCTTAAACAAAAATGTTTGTATGTTTTAGCAGATCTATTCTTAAAGGATCATACAATACTTAAGTTATACAGTTAAAAAAAATATCATATTTTTTTTTTGATAAAAATCTTAAAATACCTAATTTGATTCTCAAGTGCAAGTTTTTTATTTTATTAAGGAACGAGGAAACTTTCAATACGATTCTTACGAGCTTTCCATTTCACGTTTGTACATTTAATATTACATAAATATTTTATAAAAAAAGAGAAGTTAATTGTACTTTTAAAAGTCATGAATCAACTAACTACATTTCTGAAAAATTAGCATACAATATTTATCAGGTCTATGAATTTCTTCGTTGCTAAAAACTCTGCCGAACTGTGCTTATTACATAATAAAAAATATATATAATTGACTATTATAATGAATAGTCATCAGAAAGTCATTATAACAGACAGATACAAAAGTTGATCCAATAATCTCCGTTGGTGTTATCTTTATGGCATTGATTATGTAGTGTTGTTTTGTTCGTATTTTCTGTTGGGTGTTTGAATTGGTCCTGAAACGTTAGCCAAAAGAAGGGGTTTTTACTTTTGGTAAGCCTCTAGGATTCTGCCATCTTCTATAGTGTATGACTGATTTACTGATCTGTCTAATACATTAGGTATATACATATTTTGTTAATACCGAATGTTAAATAATGCCACCGCAGAAACTATAAGTAAAAAATAACATACTTATATAAAAACATATACTTATTGCGTCTTTTCATTGGTTGAACTGAACCTACTGCCACTTTAAGTTAAGAACACATAGTAATAAAAGTTGTGTTGTATCAACAACGACCTTTGAATTGTGTGCTGGTGAAAATAGAGAGTCAAATTTGAAGGCTAATCTACGACTGTGTGAACATGGGCGAGTTTTAATTAGATGTGCGAATTTAAATTTGATATTGTGTTTGGAATGTGAACATTAATGTTGCGTAACAGGTAGTAGAATAAAAAAAATAGAAAAGCTTTCCGCATCTAATATTGTTAAGAATTATCTCTCTCTCTCTATGTATATATATATGTGTGTGTGTGTGTGTGTGTGTGTGTGTGTACTATATGGATGTGGAAACTATCAGGTAAGTTTTGTTTGTTTATCTAAACAAAATAAAAAAATACTATAGATATTAATACATTGAAATTTCAGTGAATTTACGAAAATCTAAGATACCATTACTAGTGGACATATTCTTACAAACAATACATGTTTCTTATTTTAGCGTTTATAAATGATCTATTCAGTAAATTCGATTAGCAGAAAAGTTATGAAACGATTTTTTGTATAATTCTAGCTTCGCATCTGTTACCTTCTTTTGTACAAAAATAATTACACATTATTCAAGCTGAAATTATAATCACTCCCACTGACATAAAATGAAACAGTGGTCATGTCACTCCGTGTACTTGTTACAATGAAACATCTTGTTCATTTAAAGTGAAAACTTTGGCTACAACTTAATCCTTATTTGTTGAACAATCAAAACAACCAAACATCATTTCTTAGAACAACAGTGATTATTCTGCCCGTGGAAGGTGCTCGGTTTCAGGGTGCACACTTTAGGGCTTCTTTATTGTCACAGAAACTAGCCATAATCGCTGGTCAACTCAACTGCGCACTTGAGTAATCCTTTGGGTGCAGGTGATGTTTTTTTTTCCATTGTTCATGGCAATCAGTAAGTATTTTTCATGGCAAGCAAATAACAGCTGTGCGAGCCTGATAAGATATAAATAGGCATCAAAATGGACTGTCTTATATATAGCCCATTAGAGCGAACGGTCTCGTAACGTTGACCGATTAATTTGCATACTTTTATTGCAAAACTCAAAGTGATATTTTAGCCCATGTAACACAGCAAAGTCAACGACACCCGCATCCCTGCACTACCATTTCCTTGTAGTTTTTCAATACAACTTGATCGTATTCATCCTTATACAGGAGAGATATGGAAGACAGCTCTGTGGGCACACAGCAAGCTGGTGGTACCATTTCTTTCTTAACAGAATTCACAAGATTTTGGATAATTGCGTGATTTGTTGTGTTCAAGTGGTCTGCCAAGGGATAGGGGCATTCTCCCTCGCAGTAGTAAGCTTCGTAGCCAACAGGGGCAAGAATCCATGAGTTCCACCCTACGTCAGAAAAGTCCACATACATGGGCTTTCGGTGGCAGTTAATTTTGTGGCCTTTCCTTCTGTGTTTGCGACTACCTCGCCGAACGCGCGCGGATCGTGTGGCTTCCTCGTCTTCTGAGTAGGTGACAAGGAACGGTTGCTCTTCTGTCCACTGTTCACTGTCCATACGCTCGTGAGGTGAGCGCTTTAAACGCACGTGTTCATGACTACTGTCACTACCATTCAAAGCAATCACTTCGAGATACAACCCGTAGTTTTTTGTGGGGTTTCCCCGCCACCTCTCCACGGCAGGAAGCACATCGAATTCTTCCCACCCAGAATGTCGCACATCCAAAGTCCTTGTGTCAATAAGCCTCAAAATGGCTTCTTTGCGAGGGGTGGCGGGACGAACAATGTCAAACACTCGAATTATCTGCTTGTGGCAGTTCTTACAATGTTGTGTTTGCACATCGAGACTGCGTCTATACACACGGAGTTCTGCTTCCTTTAGTTGCTCCGTAACTGGTATTGATACGATGTTGAACCTCAGATTGATGAGCTTCGGATCGTACATATTCTCTTTTTCGGACTCTGACAGAGAGAAAAGAAATACATATATAATTTATGGAGGATAAAATCCACAAATAAAACCCCATAGTGTATACAATCTAAATACGTAACTCCAAATGTTAAGTGTTCTTATAATTTGTTATGGAACTTTTGATGCAAAGCATACTTAAAATCTTTTGGAGGGAATTTTAGAGTGATATGATACCAAAACCCATGCCAGTGTTAACCAATCTTAATTTATTGGATCCATAACTAGCTACGTCATTCAAAAACATGTGTAGTATTTTTCGCCTAAATATACATAGCATAAAATCCCTATTTTAGTTAAATACAGTAAAATACCTTCCTAAGTGTGGAAACATTTTCCTGAAGTTTGTTTTTGTTGAAATTTGCAATGTAAGCCATTTTCTGAGACCTTAAACTAACGAGTATTCTTGTTCATTTTTTCTGAAGCTGTCACGCGTGTGCCTTTCAATACTTTCGTTAATTACTGAGCTATATCAACCTGTCTAAAAGCCTCATAGTTGGTTATCTATATCTATAGGTTCTGGTTTCGAATATAATCTGCTGAAATATTCTTTTCATTCAAGTTTATTTTTAATTGATAGTAAGGTTTTTAATAATTTGTATCCTGGGGTCTTCATAAAACACTTTCTGTTGGATAATGAATACGCTGTTCAGAACAGGAACATTACATAAGAGCATGATTGTCTCTCACAACCCGTGAAAAGGAAGATTGCAAGTGCCGCCTTCTCGACGCGTGCGGGAATCGCCACAAAACTAAATGAAGGCAGAAAGCAAACTTTGTTTGACGTTAGAACATGATTGGATTTCTTGGGTCTTCATGGTGTGTTACATAAAATAGTGTCTGGTTTCAGCAGGCAACAAGCTAGTCAATTATCTCCAAACTAGAACATACATTCTCTTATTACTTAGGGGATGTCTTTCTTTAAGAATTACGTTTCACAGCCATATATTACAGTCCATTACACCAACGTAATGGACAGTGCAAGGGTTACATGTCTTATGTTTCTAGGTCAAGTGATCAAGTTTCAAACAGTTTTACTCACCCTAGGTTGCAGATGGCCTTTTCGTCAGTTTAATACTTGATAAAAATTATGCATTCTCAATGTTAGAAGTATGGAACATGCCAAATATATTAGTATATTCGTAACGATGTTTAACAATCTACATTGCAAAGTTTAGATCCCTCACTAAGAAGGAAAATTGAAAGAAAAGTGTAAAATTAGAACCGCATTTGAAAAGTGTTATGTGCTACATCATTAAGATCATCTAGTCATACATAAATAACAAATATGCACAGGCTATAAATCATTTGCACATACCCACAGGAAAATAACGAACAATCTGTACTTTTCTCAAAATATACACGCTCTGAAAAGTGTGTAACAAAGGACAATATTCTCGAGTCAACAGTAATTTAACGTGTTTAAATGAACATTTGCCCGTTAAAAAATACAGTTTTCAGATAGTCAGTCCAAGTTTTCGATTTACAAAAACCTCTCACACACACACATATATAAGTGAATATGTGAAAGTCACGCACAAAGTGATATGTATAAACACATTAATTAAGAAATATGGCTTACCTTGGTGAACGTGGCTACGTATTGTCGTATATGGACTACGTCTTTTGGTCGTTTTTAGTTTGTCTTCTAAGTAACCGTCTTCATCATCCATATCTTCTGCTTGTTGTTTATAAAGATCTAACATGTAGTTTGGAACCTTAACGTTCGTTCTGGGTTTCGGTTTTGATTTTAATCCTAGCATGTTGAGCAAACGGGATTCGAAGGCCTCCACCAAACGCTGCTTGTCAACCGCAGAGCCGGAATCGAGTGGTGTTCGATCCCCAACGGTGATCATCCCCTTGCACAGCTCGGCCAGGACCAAGGAGATGAATAACACCTGCAAAGCCCCGCAATGCCGGAGCATGGTCAAGGTCCTAGAAAAAAGGAAAAAACATAAAAACTGCTATATTCGCCATGATAGGGTCATATGTTCAAGTTTCATTTTCAGACACCAAATATATGACTGTTGTGGCTGAGGCCAAGAGATAAGAGCACAGCGCAGGTGAATCAAGAAAGGTTGTGTTAATTGTGGTCTAAAGAATGGCGGCAAATATGATGGCATCTTAATGAATAGGTTATAAAGTTGCTTCTTGACCATTAAATTTCACTAAATAGCTGAAAGCCAACTTACAGTATTTTGTTCTAAGGAGATTGCTAACACGTGACACAATAGGCCTCTAGAATCACCTGCAAGACTGGCACTACAGCCTTTTGTCTGCACGTGCTGCACCTGCCTCTTGGTCATGCAGGTGAGCAACTGCATGCACGCACAAGCAGCACGTGCTGCAGATCCAATTACATCATGACTGCCCGTTCCCGAGATGAAGCCGAGGTGTCTTTATAGGCAAACCACAGTAATTACTAGTGGGTTGCATACCAGCAGATATCTTTCATGTTTACTAAGTTTCAAGAACAATGCAAAAAATAAATAAAAGTAAATAGTAGGTTGTATAAGAATAAATAATACAGCAAGATAGTACAGAAGAAATTACAAGTCGTCTGTATTATCATATAAGTAACTGACTTTGGAACTTTTCTCCACGAAAAGACACCACTTTTCTTGCAAGGCTCTTACGATAAAGTAACTTTATGATATGAATTCACAAACAAAATTCTGCCTTTTCATTATCCTTGTACATCCATGAAGCTCAAATATGTGAGTGTGACTGTTGAAGCATCCCTTTCCAGAGGTAAAGATGTGGTTGTTAAGGGGAAGATGACGAAATTATGAGGTGCAAAACACTATCATGAGAGTAATGTACAATACAACTCGGCATGACGATAGCTATTTGTAATTAGTATACCCTAGACTGGCCTAGAGGCCTAGATGATTACAATTGTATAGGATATTTATGAGATCACAAGTAATAGGTGGCAGCACTGCTGTGTATGTTCCAAATGGTGACTGTAACGAGATAGCGAAAGCAAAGCTTGCTAAATATAATGTTTGGTAATATAACGTGATTACAATAATTTTTTATAAGCGTTATCTTAAGAGAAAAATAGAACAAATACAGCGTGCTAATTTGAGCATCTTATTAGTACTAAGTTGCAGGGTCAAATCATTTATTCCAGTAGGTTTGTTTGTTTATTATTAAGCACAAAGCTACACAAAGGGCTATCTGTGCTTT